TCTACGACCTACGTCATTTGCCAGGGGGGTAACTCCATTGAATGATGTCAAATTTTTTTGTAATGGTGGATTAAAGTTCGCGATCAACGCGCATAGAGCCTGACTTTTGAAGGAGGATTGAGTCGTCTCCTGTTCTGTCTATGGTGGAAATTATCGTTCAAGTGGAGAGGAAACATCTTGAAAAGAGACTAATAGGGCCTACCGTTTAGACAATTTCTTATAATCTTATTTCCAAGTCATGTTTGACTTAGTTGTTGCTTATATGAAACATATGTTTGAACAAATCAAGACACCACACTTTGACAGTGACTCTGGCACATTTTATGCTTCTTAAATTTAACCAAGGACAGCTCTTAAATCTGGTTTCATGTAAAAAAGACCCTAATTTGTGCTAAAAACGTTAGTTTTCTCTTTATTTAGCGAAAAAGAGTGAAATGGGTTAATTTGTTAGTTATTTGTTGTCTGAAGTCGGCTTAGTATGGACTGAGTTATCTTTTCCTGTAACTAGCTCTCAGATTTAAGAGTCAATTAAGGTAGTTTAACGTCATTTCGCCCTCTTTACCACTTCGCCCCAGGGTCTCAGGAAAAAAATAATAAAACTTGCGAATCCCTGAATCATTTGCGATTGCAAACATTTCTAGTTGTTCAAACTACCTCTTCATTTGGTAAAAACCGTCTAAATATCGTCTTAGAGTTGTATCAAGACAAATTTATTTACCTAGGACGAAATGACATTGGGGCGGTTTGGCCTCTAATGAAATTAGATGGTATGACAATCGAGACATGAGCGCCTATTAAGCTGTGATAGTGTGACAATCAAGACTAGCCTCTACTTTCGATTGCCAACAAACATGGCGGACGCAGTCGTGAAATTCATTGTTTACATTCATGAAATTGTGAAAATAAGCAAATTAAAGGCTATTCTTTATAATTTCTTGTGTTGATTTTTGAGGGGATACATTGAGGCGTGTCTCTATTGCTTCAGTATGAGATGCCAGTGCATTGGGAAGTTTTGAGAAGACTAAGCGTGAGAAAGTTCGCACCTCTCGAACCTGGTACAGAGATGGGATGTCAAAACCGACCGCTGTCAACCCTTCTTAGCCTATGCTGTGTTGTTTCTCCATGCAATGAAATATTTACCAAGCTACAAAATTGCAGTCAGAAAGACAACATCCCTGAAAAGGAGGTCAAATGGTTATCAGCCATACTGAAAGTGAAGATCTTACAGAATGAATAGAACAGTGGCACTGGCAGATATCTATCTGTAGTAAGAAAGGCCTATCTGTCCAGGGCTCTGCACCAGCTGAGATAATATCTCCCAATCATCACACTCATTGCAAAAAAAAAAAGATCATTAAAAACAAATCCAAACTGAAAGTCAAATACATAACAGAGCAATCAAACCAGGCTGCATTAAAGAATTCATCTTTCAAGAATTTAAAATTTTTTTGCAATAACAAAATTATATTAATTTAACAGCAAACTTTCTTTTCAATTTTTTTCAAGTCTAATTCTCTAATTGAACAGCTGATAGACCGGCTTTCCACATGACCGTACACGCTAGATCTCCTTACAAGACAAATTAATCAAGCTCTGAGTTCAACAGGCGCAGTCTTTTGAATGGAACCCTTTGCCCAGGGTGCTACCGGCCGTGTCCCTTAATGATCTCTCAACAATTCAATCTAAAATGAAATTTTTTACCCTGATGCCTTCATGTGGTGGCAAAATTTCCCTTATTGCACAATGCATTGTAGGCTGCAGAGCCCGTCTTCACCAGCAGCTGCAGACATGCAAGACGTAAAGTCTCCATTCATTTCATTTCCGAGTTCCGAAAATCATAAACAAAAATTTATGCAAACAAAAACCAGACAGCAAAAACCACCGCAGTGCCTTCACTCATTTGCTACGCACCAAAGAAAAGTTGATAAAGACATAAAAAAAATAAAACGCCTCAGAATTATGTTCTTTGGATTTAAAACAAAGAAAGAGAATGAATCAAAACAAATAATTCAGCCTACTTCTTCCTTAAAATAGGTGCCGCATTCCCCACAAAATGACACAGTGTTTTAGGGGTGTGTATAATCTTATTTGCCAGTCATGTTGACTTAGTTGTTGCTTATATCAAACCTATTTTTAAAACAAATCAAGACTCCACACTTTGACAGTGACTCTGGCACATTTCATGCTTCTTAAGTTTAACCAGGGACAGCTCTTTAATCTGGTTTCATGTAAAAAAGGTCCTAATTTGTGCTAAAAACGTTAGTTTTCTCTTTATTTAGCGAAAAAGAGTGAAATGGGTTAATTTGTTAGTTATTTGTTGTCTGAAGTCGGCTTAGTATGGACTGAGTTATCTTTTCCTGTAACTAGCTCTCAGATTTAAGAGTCAATTAAGGTAGTTTAACGTCATTTCGCCCTCTTTACCACTTCGCCCCAGGGTCTCAGGAAAAAAATAATAAAACTTGCGAATCCCTGAATCATTTGCGATTGCAAACATTTCTAGTTGTTCAAACTACCTCTTCATTTGGTAAAAACCGTCTAAATATCGTCTTAGAGTTGTATCAAGACAAATTTATTTACCTAGGACGAAATGACATTGGGGCGGTTTGGCCTCTAATGAAATTAGATTGTATGACAATCGAGACATGAGCGCCTATTAAGCTGTGATAGTGTGACAATCAAGACTAGCCTCTACTTTCGATTGCCAACAAACATGGCGGACGCAGTCGTGAAATTCATTGTTTACATTCATGAAATTGTGAAAATAAGCAAATTAAAGGCTATTCTTTATAATTTCTTGTGTTGATTTTTGAGGGGATACATTGAGGCGTGTCTCTATTGCTTCAGTATGAGATGCCAGTGCATTGGGAAGTTTTGAGAAGACTAAGCGTGAGAAAGTTCGCACCTCTCGAACCTGGTACAGAGATGGGATGTCAAAACCGACCGCTGTCAACCCTTCTTAGCCTATGCTGTGTT